GACCCCGTCTTGGATAGGTACGTGCCGCCAGCGGTCTAAATCCCTGACCCTATTTAAGACCCTAAAAAGTAATAATCCATACCCTGTTTAAGACAAATCGGAAAAATAAGGAATAGCTATCTACGCCGCAACCATCAAAACTGCAATTATACTGACATCCATCAAAGACAATAAGAAGTTTTTGATAACACGTTAATTCTGGGACAGTGAAACGGTATTTCTACGGTGTTATGAAAATATTACCCTGTCCAAGACACACACAAAAATTATATCGGTCTCTTTTATCTAAATGTAGAGCCTGTTTAAGACAATTTCGGGTGAAATGTATACCCTGTTTAAGACAGCAAGGCCAAAAACCATACCCTGTCCATACCGGAAAATGACAAGATTATTTTCAAAAAAATTGAGAAACTAAGCTCTCTTGATAATTTTTCTGCAAAACTCTCATACACAGACAAGAAATTTGTTAGTGACAAGTTTTCGAAGATCAAAATTTCAATAGAATGTACAACTTAGCACTTTTTAGTGTGCACACTTATAGTGTTTGTAATCTATTACATGTAGTTTAAATGTTAATGTTTCATTTTCAAAAAATAGGAAAAATGTTGAATTTACAACCAGTATTCATAAATATTTTTATGTTTATTAAAAATATTTACAAAAAACAAGCCTGAGTACAACAAATTTGTGTCTAAAATTGCCCAAAATCGCCCATCGCTGTAAATCGCTGTAAATCGCAGTAAATTGCCTTAAATTTAGATGGTTTTTTTGGTGATTTTTTGCTTAAATCGCTTAAAATCGCTTACAATCGCCCAAAATTACGGCGATTTTAGGTCCCGGACTAGGCCTAATCATATTCCATGTATTGTGATGTTTTTGAGCCAATTAAGCCACATATAACACGGATTTTCAGAAGGACGGAGGCAGTAGATTTGCGATAAGACTGGGGGAGCTCAATTTGAGCTCAATTTGACAATTAAGTAACAGTGCGCTAAAGAACTAGGGAACTCTCTATTGTTCTGCGGCATAGCAACTTCCCCATGTACGAATGTCTTGGTTTTCACACTGATTATGTATTAACCTGTGGGTAACACATTTTTGAAATAAAATGTGGATAAACTCTATTTTGAAACAAAGTTTCTTTTGTATCAAAAGCTCTTATCCAATCATAAGCACTCAAAACAATTGCTAAAAGATGCTTCTAATTTGC